CCCCAAAACCCCAAAACCCCAAAACCCCAAAACCCCGTAACACATAAAATGAGTGAATATTGAGCGTATTTGAAAATTTAAGGTTCACTATTTCTATATAAGCGCTTGATCATTAAAGATTTGCTTTTAATTTTATGGAAGATTCAACAGTATATAGCAGATTTATAAGGGACTAAGAGTCCTCAACTCCTAGAGACTTCATGGTCAAGATTGAAGAAGATGTCAAACTAGACTTCTCAGACGTTCTCTTCAAGCCAAGACCATCTAATCTCAAGAGTAGAGCTCAAGTAAGTTTAGAAGTAGACTTCTAATTCAGAAATTGACTAAGCATTAGAGGTACTCCAATCATTAGCGCCAACATGGACACAACCGGTACATTTGAGATCGCTTAAGTTCTTTCTCAGTATAAATGCTTCACAGCATGCCACAAGAAATACTCAGTTCAAGACTGGAAGGAGTTTGGAGCTGACCATCCTGAGGTATTGCCATACGTGGCAGTATCAGCTGGTGTCTCAGATCAAGAATTTGATTTGGTAAGCCAAGTAACTAAGTTGTTTTCTGACATAAGACTCATTTGCTTGGATGTTGCAAATGGTTACTCTGAAGCTTTCTGTGATGTGATAAGAAAGTACAGAAAAGAGTTCCCAGATCATGGCATTATTGCAGGAAACGTTTGCACTGGTGAAATGACAGAACAATTGCTTAATGCCGGTGCTGATATTATTAAGATTGGCATTGGTCCAGGTTCTGTATGCACTACTAGAATTCAAACTGGGGTAGGTGCTCCTTAACTCTCAGCAGTAATGGAGTGCGCTTCAGTTGCTCATAGTCTCGGAGGATTCGTAGTGAGTGATGGAGGATGCTCAGTACCAGGAGATGTCTCAAAGGCATTTGGGTCTGGGGCTGATTTTGTAATGATAGGTGGTATGTTCGCTGGCCACGATGAGAGCGGTGGTGAAACTGTAGTGATTAATGGCCAGACTTATAAACAATTTTACGGAATGAGTAGTTCAACTGCCATGAAGAAGTATTCAGGTGGTGTCTCTGAGTACAGATCAAGCGAGGGCAAGACAGTCTAAATCCCCTACAGAGGACCTATTGAACCAACTTTGCTCAACATTTTGGGAGGAGTTCGTTCAACTTGTACTTATCTAGGAGTAGGAGAGCTATCACAACTCCACTAAAATACAACATTCATTAAGGTAAACAGACAAGTCAATCAAAGTCTTAATCATCTCAACACAACTATGGAGCATGGATATCAGAGATTCGATAATCAAAAGAACAAAAACTATCCAATTCCCCAAAATCTTATTGCTGTTGACGTTTAATAGTAGAATTTCCATGATAAGAAGCTTTTTTACATTCCACCAAAGCATGTTGTAAGTACTATTTTATCTAATGATATTAGGAATATATTGACAGTATAATTTTACCAGGAGGTATGATTAAGAGCAGAGTCAGATAACTAGCTCAAAACATCTACAATGATTTCAAAGGACAAACTCTTAACGTTTTTGTGGTCATGACTGGTGCATATAAGTTCGCCTCAGATTTGGTTAAATATATCAAGCAAATCAATGAAACTGAAGAACATAAGGTTAATGTGAAACCCTACTTCTTCAAAATTGAAAAGAACAACCATCCATAGATCTTTGAGGATCCTGTGGTAAGATAATTATATTCTAATTATCTAAACTTTAACTCAACCATACTTATAGATCAAGGTATCGATTGAGGACTAAGATGTCAGAGGACAGAATGTGCTCATCATCAAGGATATTTATGACTCAGGAATTTATATGCAATCAATAAATGAAAAAGTCATGGCATTCTCACCAAATAGGGTTAGCTATGCTATTGCTTTCCACAAGAAAAATCCAAATAACCTTAAGTACAACTTTGTAGGAGAGTACACTGGCTTCCTAATTCCAGATCAATTTGTCATTGGTTATGCTGTAGGCACAAATGAGGATTTCACAGATATTCCTCATCTTTGTCTAATCAACCAAAGCGGACTAGATGCTCTTAAGCAATGAAATAACTATAAATTATCCCTAAATATCATATTGCAAGGACAAAATTATTTTTATCTAACAAAAATGCTAAAATTAATTCAAATTTATTTTTATAATTTATAATGAGCCACTTAGATGAAAAACGATTTTCAATTTGATCTCTTGAACCACTTAATCTATAATACCTTAGTGGGGTTTTGGGGTTTTGGGGAGATCGGAAGAGCACAC